AAAACTTTTTCAAGTGTTTAATGACCACTTATTTCTCTTCTTTGGTTAATTTTCTGTCTGTGTCCATGGCTTACTTTTCTGTAGCTATGTTCATCTTTCTCTTATTAAACTGACAAACCTCTTTAAAATATCAAGACTTTGTCAGCCATATATATTGGAAAATTTTTTTCAATTGTGATCTGATAATAAAAATAATAATGACAGCTACAATTTAACCCTCAAACAATTCAATCCTGTGAGGTAGAGATTATTCTGGAGTGTTCCACCATTACCTTTCTGTACGGGTATGGGCAAGTTTGCTTTTTTTCTATCAAATACAGAGTGGCTAAAAGTGTGGCCTGTGAAATCACACTGTCCTTGTTTGCCCCGGAGGACCACGTATTATTACATGGAACCATGCACAATGCCTGAAGTCTTTGTGCTTCTGTTTCTTCATCACTAAAGCAGCGACAATAGTATCTACTTCATGGAGTCTGTTCTGAGAATAAAGAGAATGTGTATATCTTAGACTATTAGGTGCCTGGCACATCATAAAAGCTTATTTTTTGTTATTTTCATTGTTATTGTTACTACTGACAAAAATCCTTGTGATGATTGTCATACGTGATTTTGAAAAAGTTTAGCATACTTTGCAGAAATGATAGATCAAAGATTTAAAACAGTCATCTATCCCAAACCTGCCAATCCTCTGGTCGCTGGACTAAAAAAGATGCATTTCATGTGTGTGACAGCTCTTTCGCCTTCTCAGCCACTGTTTTGGAAACACAAGTACCTCTTACAGTGCCCTTGTATTTGCTCCCAGATGTATCCTGTAGCTAGGGACTTTCAGGGTTAAAGAATGCCTTGATAGTCCCGGGAGACTGCGTAGGAGGTGGATGCTGTTTGAATTAAGTTGAATTATTTTGCCTCAATACTGTCCTCAAAAGCCCAGAATACACAGGCAGCAACCTTTTGCTCTCTCAATAGGACTAGAATTAAAATATTCTGTGACTAAGAAGAAAACCTTTAGTTCATCTAATCTATCGGTTTTCAAATTTTAGAGCACATCAGCAAACCTAACACACTTGTAAAAGATCCACATGCTATAGTCCCAGCTCTGGTCTGCAAAAGCCAAACCTCTGATATCAGGGCACAGAGATTTATGTTTAATAAATAACAGCACCTAAAGTTATTGAATTAGTTAGGGTAAGGCTAAGTTAATGGAACAAAATCTCAGCCTACTGTGGGTTGAAAAATACAAGTATTTATTTTTCTCTTATGTAACAGTCCCTAAATTAGCAGTCCAGGTTGGCAAAATAACCCTGATGAACACAGTTATTCAGGGACATGGCTCCCTTCCATTATGCTGTTCAGGCTATTCCTAGGGCATTATCATCATCTGCATGAGTAAACTTAGGACACACTCTTGTCCGTTTTGGGGATCTACCTGTTAAGAAGAAAATAATCCCAGAGGAGGCCAGTCCAAAGTCGTGAGACCTGGACTCAGAAGTGGCATGCATGACTTCTGCGCAGAGAGCCTGGGAAAGGACATCTGTCTGGGTGTCTGTGCCTCACTGCACCTCTGCAGCTGGAGACTGAGGAGGGTTGGTTTGGGTGGGCAACCTGAAAACTTGGCACAGTGATCTTGATGCATTCTGAGAACCCAGATCTAATCCAACTTCCTCAATGTTTAAATAAGGAAATTGAATCCCAGTGAGGTTGGTGGCAAGACGCGCTCCCCTCCTCCCCATAAAACATATGAGGATTGATATGTGATGTTGCACAGGCTCTCCTTTCAGTACCATCTTGGGCACTTGGGGCCAGGGTCTTGCTTTCACTTCAGAATTGTTCCTTAAGAGAAATTTAGTGCACTTTACATTGAGAAAATCGAGGGAATGGTTAGAGACAAGAAGGGTACGTCTCTTAAAATAACCTCTCTCAGCTTCCCTTTCTCAAACCTATGCCTCCACTCTCAACTTCCTTTTTCTACCTGATTCTCCCTTCCAAGGCCCTTTTCATAATCAGATCTGTCTCCTTTCTGATCTCATTTCATTCTGTCTAAATTTTCCTTTCAGCTACAGGGATATGACACATATCTACCTCTCAGTTATTTTTCTAACAACTGCAAGGGCACTTGTTGGACTATTTCCGGATAGGTGAAGCTTGTGTGATTGAGTGGGCTGAGATGATAGAAAGGCAAAGGGAAAAGGAAGGACATCAAGACAAGCCTACCATAGAAGTGAAGGCCAAGACACAAGTTCTGTGGCCAGTGCAGAGGGCAGCCTCAAAACAGAGACAGGGCAGGTGCCAGAGTCAGGTGAGGCAAGATGGTAACGGAGCACTAAAGGCTTTGAGAGTCAGCCTGAGAAACTCAGGTGTGAAGTTACAAGAAAAATGGAGTTCTCTGTGGTTTGGGAGCAGAAAAGGAAAATTATGAAAACCTAATATTTTAAAATCTGAAATCCCCTGCCCATTGTTCTCATGGGGGACCTTAGGATGCACATATGTCAAAGGAGGGACAGGCTAGGAGGGTGAGAAGCGCTAGTCCTCGGGAGCACTGACTGGACACGATACCTCCACATTCGGCACCTTTTAGACTCATAGAATGATAAGGTAGATCTTGGGAGCTCAGGGCACCAGAGAACTGGGAGCTACAGCCCGTACGTGGTTTCTTCAGAGAAATGGAAAGGTTGTTTCAACTAAACCTCTTCCAGGGATGCTCCTTACCTAGAAAGAGGTATCTATTCTGGGTCTTTGCTCTTCTCTTCTGGTGACGGTAGAAATCTGTACTCAATTCTGAACTAGGTAAGGTTTGCTTTTTCTTTCACATTGCAAACAGCTCTCCCAGAGCTGAAATAGCTATTGTCTCGGGGGCTGACATACCTTTCAGCCAGAGCTGAAAATTCCACTGTAGGAAAAGAAATCACTCAAATTTGAACTACATGTTAGCCAAGAGGAGACTGCTTAGACTGCTCTGCTGTGGACGGAACCCACTCTTCTGTTTGGTGAGCGAGTGGTAGCTTCAGACTTCCTGCATGAAACTATCACTGGAATAGAACTCGGTAAGCACATTTCTCTCCCTGGGTGCTGGGTTCTCCTCCTACAGAGAAGAGACCTTTGGGACCCAGGCATTTCCCTCTACTACTCTCTCCTCTGGATGCCAAGTGCAAATTGAATACTAATTGCGTGCCCATTTGACCAAATACACCGTGATTATTTGTGCAACCACCACACTGACAAGGAAAACCCAGCTAAAAAGATAGACACAAGTTGCTATAATGCTGCATATTGGCTGATTATGACAGTTTTGCAGTGCCAGTGTATGAGAATTCTGCATCAAATGCAAAATGTTTTAGAAATATTGACATGTAAAGAATTACACACAACAAAAAAAATGTTACAAAGATGTAACATTCATTCACATGCATTTATTTAAAATTAGAACATTATAAAAGAGTGGTCTCAGGATGCAGGAAGGATGAAAGAGGAGGAAACAGGAGCATATGGGCACACATCAATGAAGAGGGTCATTGCCCATGTTTTATGCAGAGTGTTGAATCATGAAGACTTACAAATAAATAACTGGTAGTGAAAAAATCACTACAGTATCAGAAAACATCAAGATTAAATACCAATCCTGTCCAGTGCTTGGGACAGATTTTCTATTTCCCGTCTTTCTACCTCCTCTGTTCCTCCGTGGCTTGCCATTCCTCTCCCACAGCCCCAGGCCATCGAGACTTTCCTTGAGTAAAAATTGCAATAAGAGCTTTATATCTTTTCTTTGCCACAACCTGTGAGACAGGGATGAGGGTGGAGGAATGGAGATTGCGTAGGGCTGGAGCTGAGGACAATAACTTAGAGCAGCAGCCAAGCCAAAGGATATTTTTTCTCTGGCACCTCGGGAGGACAGGCCGACCCACGGTTGTATGAGTGGGTGCTCACACTTGTGTGCACACATCAGTGCACACACTTCTTGGAAGAGAAGCACTGGTAATATCTCCCACACTCCTTCATTATTTTTCTGAATAGTCTCATTGGCAATACAATTAACTTTTAATTATACATATTGGTTTGTGGCCCTCTCTCCTTAATTCTACCCAGTTGGGTGAACTCAGCTTCTAGGCTTTATGGCTGAGCTAGAATGGAATTCAATTTGGTTCAGAGAAAGTGTGTGTGTGTGTGTGTGTGTGTGTGTGTGTGTGTGTGTGTGTGTGGGAGAGAGAGAGAGAGAGAGAGAGAGAGAGAGAATCTGCACTCCAGGATG